AAAATCTAAAACAGCCTCATACTAACTGACGTGCAATCAAATCAGTAGCTCAAAACAATATCATCACTCCATAAACAACCAACAAGAATCATAGACACAAAAGGAAAACCTATAATAAAGAGGAGAAACCTCCAGATCATCCTCAACGACGAAAGCAAACTCATGATCAGAAGCGGGCCACCATGCTTCAAGCCACTGGGCCTGAAGCCCAGCATTGGAAGTCCTATAATGCACCAACTTCTCTCCAAATTCCCAACCAAAGCCATCCACGAAATCAACGATCCGCTTGGAGAGTTTCAGCTTCTGATCCAAATCGACAGAGTCGTTTTTTTGGGGATCTTGCTGGAAATGGTCGATGATATGTGGAGATGAACTTTATCGCCGGCATCGTAGCGGGCTTTATAGAGAGAGTTGAGACACCGGGTGAGAGAAGGGAGCCGGTTGAAGTTGAGGACTTTGATGATAAATGTGAAGTTCGGGCCGGGGATTTTGTGGAATCGGGTCTGGATTTGGGCCTTCGGAATGGACTAAAGAGAAAACAGCACGAGAGAAGAGACGGAGAGGATGGTGAAGTAAAGCAGTGGGCGAATTTGCTTGGAAGGCACTGGCGCCATGGAAATCTCTGCCACAGTGATCTCATTTTCACAGTGTAGTTGTGTTCGTGTGCGTGAGAAAAGGGGCAGAAATCAAATGATTTCTGTCTCAAGAACCAAAACAAATTGTTTCGGTTCAGAACCCAAACAAGCTATAGGCCCTTTTGAATCTATACTTATATCTTTATCTATACAAAACTTATCCAAAAAATTCAAACATTTTTAACTCAACCACTTTTTTTAACTCAATCCAACTATCATTAATATTATTAATATAATTAAATAATATCAAGCAACCATTCTTACACATCACATCAACCTTAATTTACTATTCATCCACTCACATAATTTTAACTAACCATCACTTCAAATCATCTCTCTCATACTTTTACATCAAATCAACTTTAATTATTTTATTTAAAATATTATTTTAATATATCCACTAATAACTAACCATACCACCTTTTTCAAAATTAACCAAACCAAACCAACAAATCCAAACAAATCCAAAAATTTTTATATCCAAAGCATCCTCTAACCATTTCTTTCAAAAAAAATCTATTTACTATTTCGAGAAATTGATTTAACAATTTATAGTATATTTCAAATAATCACTTGTGGAAATTGTGGCTTATTAATATAATAATTAAGTCATGGAAAAATTCTTTTCTAAGATACCTTAATTAATCTAAAATCATTTGAATTCGGCTGAATGAATTCTGTCATTAAAAAGGTATGAAGGTCGAATTCTCTAACTCTGCTTGAAATTTTAAATGCTACGAAAAAAAATAAAACATATGAAAACAACATTCTTCAAATTAAAATCACGCAGCCTGAAGAAATTCAGCTAATGCAAATAAATACAAAACTACCATCTCTTCAACCTGTAGCTTAATTCTCCTACAAAGTCCATGAGTCCGGAATTTATATATAACCTTAAGATAAGATATATGAAGGCAGGCTTAATACATAAATATTTATCCAGATATGAGAATTTCGGCTGCAATATCAATTATGTGATTTGCTAAAAAAAATTCAACTTTATTGTGTAATTTTTTCGTATGGATAGTTGAGAATGCTTTGAAAAATAATTAATTTATGGTGTCCCAACACAAACGATAGTGCTTTCTCTCAATGATCGACAATAACAATTTTTATTTTATTTATTATATGTTTTTTCTAAAAATTATTTCCATAGTTTATTTAAATGAACGTTTAGGAGGAGCAATATTGATTGCACATTATGGGGTGATTTCGTTGACCGGCTTTTGTAAATTGAAAATGAATATGACAATGATCGTCATTCACATTTGCTCATTGTTCATCTTTGTCAAACAAAACCATGGGGAGGTTTTTTCGTAAAATTAGTTTATAATATATTTATGTTTTGTTAATTATAATATAGATATATTTAAATACATATTTTAACGTTTCACAAATACATTTATAATTTAACACGATGTTAAAATTTTATTTTTTTTATTTATATTATAATTATAATATATATTTTTATATATAACAAACACGTGTATATTTAAATGTGTCAATATTTCAGTTAATGACCAATTAGCTACTTCGAAAAATGTTACGAAGCTAATTGATGGTCATGGTGTTCACGAGATTCGCGATTTGATAAACAAGATTCATAGTCAATCTTTCTCACATGTTCGCATGTATTTTAAAAAATCGATGTTCAGTCACGGCCAGTTGTATGTATCTGTTTCCCGTGTCACTAATAAAATAGACTATTAATATATTAATTTGCAGGGAAGGTGGTGTGCTTAAAAGACAAAAAATATTGTAGACAAGAAGACTTTTGATATATAATACTCCCTCTATTTATAATAAGTGTCGTTTTGAGAAGATGCACGGTGATTAAGAATATTTTTTTTATCAATAATAACCCTCATTAATGAAGATAGAGATGGATGCTTTGAGAAAAGATGAAGAGTGAATATGAAAAGTCGTACTGTATTTATTAGCTAAATGGGGGTAATAATGGAAAAATATGTACAAAAGATCCAAAACGTCATTTATTTGGTTAATAGTTGATAAAGCCAAAACGATATTTAAAAAGAATAGGAGGTAGTATAAATTTTTTATTTTAATTATTTAATTTTTTTATTCACGAATATAATAATAATGTTTAGTAAATAACTTTAAGATTGTCCACCCTATGCATGGCACATGCTCTGCACTAGTTGTTACCAAAACAGCTACAATATATACACACGACAACACATAGGCCCATAAATTGAGTCTCATTTGTCAGCCTACTTTGTTTTGAGAAATTTACCTAGGTNAATAAGTTTTTTAACTAGATAAGCAACTGTTATATTATATTTGCATGGATACGAGAGTAGTTTGGCCTAAAATTACTAAAGTAAGTTGTAAAGTGGATACAATTTAATACTATTTTAATAGAAGGTAATTTGGAGTAGTTTATTTATTTAAAACAAAATAAAAATGAAGTGGACAAAAAAAAAGAGTGAAAAAAAATCAAAAGGACGTATTCTATGAATACGTTTTTCTAATTAAAGTTTATTAGAAAAACGTATTCATCGGATACGTTTTTATATTAATTTTGTAAAATGTTAAAAATATTTATTTTCTTTTAAAAAGAGTCGAATTGAATAAAAATTAATAATTGTAAAACATATTTGAAATATACGTTTTTAATAAAAAATAAAATTGATTTTTAGGGTTTTAATAAACGGATTATGGAAATACGTTTATAAAAGAAATTTGAAACCGTATAATAGGAATACGTTTATAGTTTAAACAATAATACGTTTTTTAAATAAATTAAAACGTATTACAAGAATACGTTTTACAATTAGATAAGAGCAAAACGTATTCTTGTAATACGTTTTACAATGAAATAAAAATAAGTTTCATTCTCTTCTTCTCCATTTCTGCGCGACCATTCAGAGCGAGAGAGAGCGAGGTTATCGGAAAAAAAAAACTCGATCCAATCGCCACCCCAACGTAAATCGATAACAACAACACGAGCCTCATTTTTTGTTAATTCATTCGCACGAGGTATATTAGTTTATCTCAACTTTTTACATTGTTTGGATTTGTTTGGAGATTAGGGATTGTTATAGTATGTTTGAATGTAGTGGTGTTTGAAGATTGAGAATTGTTAATTGTTTATCGATTATGTGTGTATGTTGAATTGGAGATTGAAATTTTGTTGGAAATTGTCAATTGCAAATTGATTTGTTGTTGTTGGGCTTAGGGTTTTTTGAAATTAGGGTTAGAATTAGGGGTTTTAATTTATTGTTTGATTATGTGTATTAGGATTAATCGATTGGAAGTAAAAAAATGGGTTCAAAGAATAATTGGATTTTTTGGGTGTTGGATTAGACATTATGTGTTGTTGTAATTGGGAAGAATTGAATTTTTTTTTTTGCAACAGGAATAAATGGAGTATTGCGGTCCATATTTTGTTAATTTGTATTGGCGATGTGCGAAAGAACAATTTGTTTCATTTATAGATCGTCCGGATGGTTCATTTGTTATTACGGGGAGGATATCATATGGAGAATTGGTACATATGATTAATGAAAATTGTCGGTTTGGAGAAGGTTGGACAATTGAACAGATTACTTTAATGTTTCGTCAACGCGATGGTTCGTGGAATACCGGAAGACTCGATAACGATAGTGCTATGCATTGGATTTATTTCTCTCCTCTAATATCCGTTGTGTATTTGCATTTATCGTTGGAGGCAATTACACCGGTTCCACAGTTTGAGGATCTTACTCCTTATTACGGGAGAATGGATGAGGGCGCGTCGACTTCTCATCTACGTAATTTTGGAGAAGGGACAAGCTCACCAATTAGAGAAGGGCAAATGAGGACGAGGAAGAAAGTGACGAAGAGTTCGCACTCGGTGAAGATGATTTCACAGACAAGACCTCAGAAACCGAATCAGATAGATCGGTAAATGAGGAGAGTAAAGCCGAGTTCATTGAAGAAGAACACCCCTTTCCTAGTGGTGGTCGGCACGTATACCGTGAGATGGGTGAATGGGACCCGTCCAGGATAGATAAGGACGAGTATGCTATTCCACTCTGGAATAGCGACATTGAGACCATACGTTTGGGTATAGTTTTTCGGAGCAAGAAAGAAGCCCAAATGGCTCTGATGGCTTGGAAAGTCGGTAGGTTGCGGGAGATTCGGATAAATGATTCGAATCAAAAGTCATACAAAGTGGTCTGCAGATCTAGTGAAGATCCGCCTTGTGTGTGGAAGGCTCGGGTGACTAAGTCCAAACGGGTTCATGAATTGTGGGAACCAACGGAATGGACTGATAGTCACACTTGTATGCAACCGGTCGAGAGAAATGACCACAGAAATGTAACAGCCCAAATGATTTCAAATCTCATTCGTAATAAGATTCGAAAGAAATTAGAGTACGGCGTCGACATGATCCAGGCTGATGTGAAACAGTGCTGGAAAGTGGATTTCAGCTACAAGAAGGCATGGCACGGAAGGAGAAAAGCCATCGAGAGTGTGTATGGCACTTGGGAATCGAACTTCGCAGAACTCCCTCAGTAAGCAAAAATTAATTACAAATATAGTATATTTATTTAATGTCTGTCGCTATGTTTATCTATTTATTTATGAAACTGTTTTGTAATGTGTAGGTATTTTGCTGTGCTTCAAAGAACGAATCCCTCCACAGTTGTAGAGTGGGAATGGCAGGGTAGAGAAATGGCGCGACACCTTCGAGACAGACAATTCAAATTTGTATTTTGGGCGTTTGGTCCCGTCATTCAAACTTTCCAAAGGTGCCCGCCGGTTATTAGCGTTGATGGCACACATTTGCGTGGATTCTACAAGGAAAGATTGCTTGTGGCCATAGCACAGACTGCGAATAAGCGGTTATTGCCAATCGCGTATGCGCTTGTCGATGAAGAAAGCACGGACAGTTGGTCATTTTTCTTTAGGAATCTGCGGCAACATGTAGTCTTCCAGCGACGTATCTGCGTTCTTTCTGACAGGGATGCGGGCCTACTCAGTGCCATTGAATCATTAACAGATTGGCAAGAACCAGCTGCGTATCACCGGATTTGCCTTCGACACCTTCGAAGCAACGTGGTGACTAATTTCAGGAGTAAGAA